TCAACCTACCACACATATCATATATCATATATATATATATATATATATATATATATATATATATATATATATATATATATATATATATATATATATATATATATATATATATATATATATATATATATATATATATATATATATATATATATATATATATATATATATTAGAGCGGAATAAAATTTTAGATTTGCACTCTCTAATATATTTGTCCGTTTTATCATTTATTTTGTGAATTTTTACCGACAATATTAACAAGATTTTTTGCATTTTTAACCTTTAAAAAAGTAAGGTCTGCATCTCCGCTCTACCTGACATAATTTTCTTTTTGGACGGATTAAGGTTTAAATTTTCACCAAACTACCACCATTATTCAATTTATATATCAAAATACCACTCTTTTCAATTTATATATCAAATTACTTTCTTTTCAAATAAAAAAGATTAATTTTGAAATAATATTATCAATTGAATTGATGATATTTAATTTTTTTAGTTATATTATATTTGACTGCGAATTTTCTAGAGAATTTCTTATGAATTTTAACAAAATAGTACATTTAAAAATTTGTAAAAAGTTTCGAAGGAAACATTTTTTTTAGGAAATCGGTAGAAAAATAAAAAATAACGAAAAAGGTTATAAAAAAGTCGGTTAATTCAAATTCAATTGGAGGTGCAATTCTTTAATTGACTCTCCATTGCATTTGGAGGATCATTGATACAAAAATTGTTTGAAAGAGTGATAATTTGAAACAAGATACTTTAGTATATTTTAAAAATGGTGGTATATTCAATCAAGTAATTGGTAACGTACACTCGTACTTGACTGAATTAAATAAAAATGGTTTTAACTTTATTCATTCAACATTAAAATCATTTCATGTTGGATAGCTTAATCAAATGATGCAACATTAAAATGATCTCATGTTGGATAGCTTAATTAAATGAATATAGACAAAAACTGAAGGAGAATATAAATAATTATAAGTTAAAGTATTTATCAATAATATTAAATTTGTTGAAAGGTTCAATAATACCAAAATCTTTAATTTGAACCAACTAAATAATTTCAATATAATAAAAAAATAAAATGCCACGGAATTATTTGTTCAATCAATCAAATTAATCTATTATAAAAATATAATTTTTAAAGTTCTCGAGAACAAACTATATTTTATACCTATTTATTTTTTAATATTTTTAACTATCAATATATGAATCACATAAATTTAAAGTGTTTAAAATATTCTCCAAACTCTTTAATAATCTCAAAGGCCACCAAACACCAAGAATAAAATCATAGTAATTTCTTATCACTAGGGTTTTTGCACCTTATGAAACTCGTGCTAACAACAAGTGAGAGAAAATCATATTTATAATTCTTGAAATCCTAAAGATCTCATTCAGAACTAAAACTGGCATGATACTCGCAAAACGCTCTGACTGTCGACCACTATTGCGTTGTTGTTTCACTAGAGCACTTTCATAATCGTAGTCTCCTGACTCAGTCGCGCCGCCTACCAAATTTTGGAAGTACTCAAACATGTTTTGTTCATCATTTTCTCACGTGAGGTTTTATGGCATATTACAACCAACTTGTTTCTCTCTTCAACAAATTTGGTCAAAACCAGGAAATGAATGAACCTTGTTATTGACAATGATTTTGTGAACTACATGTTAGATTATCCTTTGAGGACACCTTGTGAACCCTAATTTTCTTTGACTCAATCATGTTCCTTATAAAATAAAAATGAATTTTAATGTGTTTTGTCATTTCCTAATAAACTTGATGATTGACCAAGTGAATGACACTTTGACTATTACAATTTACCTTTGCACATTCTTGAGTGATTCCTAACTCCCTAATCATGCCTCTTAACTATATGACTTCTTTGACCCCTTTAGAAAGGATAATATACTTCTCTTAAGTATTATATTACTCGACTATTGATTGTTGATTTTCCTTCCAGCTTATAGTTATCCCAAACAACGTAAACACAAACCTAATAGAAATCTTCTAGTGTCCACGCCACTTGCATAATTCATAGTTAAAAAATTATCATACTCCAACAGAAGAAGAGTATAAACTTGAACCTAAGTTACTCTAAGATATTCTACATGTCGAAAATTTGGTTGAAATCTTATGATACAACTTCCATGTTAGTAGGAATCTCTTTAACCCCCGACATGATCTCACAACATATTTTGCTACACTAATCATGTTTTAATCTACTAGCAATAACTCGTCCTTTTCCATGTCATAAAAAATGTCATGAGGACACTATCGAGATACAAGTGTGAATTGGAAGTCACATATTGCTTGGAAAATGGAGATTGAACACTCTATAAGTGAGATAATCCATATATCTAATGCCTTAAAGTTGTGAGTGAATATGCAATGCCTCTCTCACTTACTCATGCAATTGATTAAAAAAAACATCATGATCAAGATCAAACCTAACCAATGGTTTATGCATGCTAAAAACGAATCTTTTCAAACTTGATTCTGAGAAGTGCGATCATGAAGGAGACTCAACAAATCGAAATTAAATCAAATATTAAAGCGATAAGACAAGTAAAAAAATAACAAGATATAGGTGTTCCCCCTGAATGAGTTAAGGACATGCAACTATACTTTTCACTAGTGTAACCGGTTAACATATTAGTGCAACCGGTTGCACTCTACTGCACTTCTTTAATTTAGTCACAAATGACGTCTCAACTGACCACAGTCCTTCTATTTTTTTTACATCATACAACTTGTAACCAGCGGTGGAGTGATACCCTACAAGAATCGTCAATTCTCCTTTATCATCCAGCTTCTTTCTAAGTTGTCCTGACACATTTCGATATGCTACCGAATTGAAAAATATCAAGTGACTCAGGTTCAATTTAAATCTAGATCGTACTTCCTATGGTGTTATCTTCTCAAGCTTATCCGTTGGACACCTATTCAGCAAATATGTTGTTGTGGACGCCGTTTCTTCCCATAACTTGTTCAGTAAGTTTTTTCCTTTCAACATGCCTCTCATCATATTCATAATCGATCGATTCTTCCTTTTGTAAACACCGCTTTGCTACGGTGTATATGGTGGTACTACCTCATGTACTCTACCATCTTGATCACAAAACCTCCAAAAGTCATTTGAGACATATTCGCCTCCACCATCCATTTCGAGAACTTTGAACTTGTGGTCGCTTTGCCTTTCAACCATGAACTTGAACTTCTTAAACACTTCAAATACCTCATCATTTCTCTTAATTAGGTATGTCTACAGTTTTATTATATGATCATCAATGAATATGATAAAATATCTATTGCCACCAATCAGATCAACTTGCATCAGTTCATACACGTTGCAATACACCACCTCAAGGTGACACATGTTTTTACAACCTGCATCCTTGCTAAATTTTCCTTTATGTTGCTTCATTTGCACACATTATTCATAAATTTCAGGTGGTATATTGATCAATGGCAACCCTGATACCATTCTGTTCTTTTACAAGGCATTGAAATCTCTAAAGTTGCGATGCCTAACCCTATAATGCCATAACCAGTCTTCTCTACTAGCTTCGTCAGCAAGACATCTATGCTTCATAACCTTTAACTCAATCTTGAAAGTTATATTGGGGGCCATAGGAGACTTTGGGATCAAAACCCGATTTGCATCCATAATGCGCAGTGCCGTATTCTTCATATGAATCTTATAACTCTTTTCAAGAAATTGGACAATACTTAGAAGATTACACTTGATTATGGAAATATACAGTGCATCATTTACCAAAGAATGTCTACCATCCCTTCTCTCGATTGATACATCATTGATCCCTTCCGTTTCTCCCACGCCTTTACTTGGTTTACCAACCGAGTAATTTTTGTTGTAAAATCGTTGATGGCCTCCTTCTCCTCTATTTGAATCAACTCAAGCTGATGTTTGTGAGTTTGTAACCTCACATCCTTCACCTTGTCAGCCCCTGCATATGCCTTTTCTAAGATTTTCCACACTTGCTTCGATGATTCACAATCACCAATTTTATTAAAATTATCCATATCAACGCATTGATGAATTAGAAACAACGCTTTGAAATCTATCTTCTTTTGTTCCTTATGTGACACTCTTTGATCCGGAGTGACACTCTTTGATCCGGAGTAGCACCTTTAATAAGAGGATTCACGTCGTTCTTGATCACTTCAAGAACATCTTTGTAGCCAAACAATACATTCATTTGCTTGCACTATTGATAGGTAGATTTGTAGGAATGCTTTTATTGGAGACAAAAGTTATGATTGCACACTAGATGTTTGATGGATCGAACCAGACTCTTGATGCCAAATGTTAAAACTTGAAATCATAAGATTGGTGAAAATAATTGAGGAATTGAGTGTGGAGAGGGAGAGAGTGAGAGAGAATTAGAGAGAGTAAAATTTAGTGTGATATGGATTCACTCATTCATGAAATACAAGGTATTTATACAATTGCATAATGAGGTACAATTGTAAAAATAAAAAAAAACTAAAAACTCAGGTATAATCATATGACATTTTATGTCAATCGGTTGTGCTTCACTACTGATACCCGCAAACTTCCCCGATGACCGTTGCGTCTCTATTTCTCTGGAGCACCTCAGCGGTCGTCCTTCCTCTCTGTACAGTATGATTCTTTCAGATGTAACTGAATGCAAGATTTTTGTGCCTCGAGTGCAGTCAGAACCAAAGAAGTGATATTTCAATCTTTCAGAACTACTTTTAAAAAAATATGTTGAGGCAACAATGTGTGAGTTCTTCCTAGCCAGTGGCCAAGCCTTGTACAAATATTTTGACATGAAATATCCTTCTTTATCACTTATTCAACTTTAAGAAAAAGTAAAATCATTACTATTACATATAAATAAAGCCATCATCAGAGATCTTGGTAGTTAAACTTAACTAATCAATTGCATGGTGAAGAACAAAATCACAAACATCTATGCATATCAGATAAAACCAACTATGATCTTAAGATGTAGAAGCACTTGTGTGCAATGCTACTAAAGAAGCATAGTCGCCACCCTTATGTAACAATGTTTCATGTTTCCCTTTCTCTGCTATCACACCATTCTTAACTACTGCTATTATATCTGCACCCTTAATAGTCGATAACCTATGAGCAACTATTATTGTTGTCCGCTCCACCATAACTCGGTCAAGTGCATCTTGAACCACCTTCTCAGACTCAGCATCAAGTGCACTAGTTGCTTCATCTAGTAATAGTATTTTTGGATTCTTCACTATAGCTCTCGCAATTGCCACGCGCTGCTTCTGTCCCCCGGACAACTGAACTCCTCTCTCGCCTACTACTGTGTCGTAACCCTGCATGCATTATATGTTTTTTGTTACAATGTACTAGATTCTGTACTCATGCAATCATTGATACATTACGTATAATTTATATATATGAATACAAGAAATACTAATGCATTGTACCTTCTGCAAACTACTAATGAACTTGTGAGCATTTGCCAATTCTGCTGCAGCTATGATCTCTGCCTCGGACGCATCTCCGTCTTTTCCATATGCAATATTGGCTCTGATAGTGTCATTAAACAGAACAGGCTCTTGGCTTACTAGTCCCATTTGTTGTCTTAGCCATTTCACTTGCAGATTTTGGATTTCTTTTCCATCAAGTGTAATGTGACCGGAATCTGGATCATAAAATCTTTGTATTAATGAAATCACTGTTGATTTTCCGCTTCCACTTTCTCCAACGAGCGCAACTGTCTGTTTTTCATATCAGTAAGATCATTCTGTTAGTTGTTATTTCTATTAGGAAAAACAATTTAGAGTAGTCTACTTGATAAGATGCGAAATTAGAGTACTACCTTGCCGCTATGAATGTTCAAGCAAAGATCTGTGAATATTTGAATATCGGGTCTAGTAGGATACTTGAAACTGACATGCTTAAATTCAATTTCTCCCTTGAGTTCTTCCAATGTTGTTCCTGATTCATCACTTGGATCTATGAGTGATTTCCTATCAAGAATAGCAAATATAGAAGCAGCTGCACTTTTTGCCTTAGTTGAATCAGGTACCAACGATCCGGATTGAGAAAGTCCTACAGCTGCCATGCTTAAAGCAAAAAAGACCTGCAAATCATGAAGCAGAAAATAATTCAATGCTAGAAAAATTTATTCTTATAATACCGATTTAGGAGAGTAACTTACACGGAAAACATCTGAGAATGAAGATTTTCCATCCTCAACGAGACGCCCTCCAGCATAAAAACTGCATGCATAAACTGCATACAACACGAGGAATGATACTCCGAAACCAAATCCGCTTACTATCCCTCGCCTTATGCCTGTCTTAATCGGTCCTTCGCATTTTTGCTTATACAATTCCATCACCTTCTCTTCAGAACAGAAAGAAGCAACTGTTCTTATACTCCCTACTGCATCATTAGCCACTTGACTTGCTTCCTCATACAATTTCTGTTCAAAGAAAACAAAATTGGTATTCACAATTTCACAACATAAAGCTAAGTCAAAATTGCTTCTAGAGGTCATGCTTTTATTGTAACAAACCTTTGCATCTGTGCTGAACCCTTTCAAGAACTTCACTTGCAAAAATCCATTTAGTCCTAGTAAAGGCACCAAAGCAAGGATTATAAGAGCAAGCTGCCAGCTAGCTACAAAGGCAATTACCAAGCCAGCTACAGCTGTAGCAATATTTTCAACCAGTAAACCGAGTGCATCTCCAACCAAAGCTCGAATGGAAGCTGCATCAGTAGAAAGCCTTGCTCCAATTGCTCCACTTGAATGCTCAGATTTATCAAACCAACTTACTTCCATGTGAACAACCTTCTCAAAACACATTTTCCTGAGCCTTTTGATCAACTTACCTCCAGCAATGCCAAAAAAGTAGAATCTACATGGGAAAATGAATAACGACGCAACACCGAGCCCAACAAATACTAATGCCCAAACTTTTGAATCGTGTCGAAGTTCGTCATGTGGCTCATAGAAAATACTTATCATTTTGGAAAGTAAGAGGCCGAAAGTTGGTAATATTGCACCATGCAGAACTGCAGCTATAGTCCCCATAAGTAAGACAGGAATCTCAGGTTTGTTTAAATAGGCCAGGCGATAGAGTGGCACTTCCGGTGGTGAAGAATCCGTCGAAAGAGGATCTTGAGGTCCACCTTCTGCAGTTTCTGAGAAGCCAACTATTGCGGTGGGCACACCAAATGACGCCGAGAATGAGTGACGACCGCTGTTACTACCTCCAGATGACAGTTGGCTTATAGATCTTGACAATAAAGATCTTTGACTCGGTCGTTTTTCAGATAGCACTATGCTGTTTGACTTGCTTGTGTCATTTTCAACATTCTGTTCTGATCCCTTCATTTCTTGCAGCCTAATGAGCTGACTATAGGCTCCATCAGGATCCCTTGTGAGCTGAGCATGTGAACCTGATCCATTGAAAAATAGAAAAATAGATTTATATGATTAACATTCAGTTAGATTTATATATTGCACCACAATATGTATTTATATGTATACCTCTTTCAATTATTTTTCCTTGATGAATAACAGCAATGGTATCAGCATTCTTTATGGTACTTAAGCGATGAGCTACAATAACAGTCGTTCGGTTTACCATTATTCTGTCCAAGGCCTCTTGTACAATTCTCTCAGATTCGGCATCAAGGGCACTTGTTGCTTCATCGAGAAGTAATATTCTTGGATCTTTCAAAATCGCTCTTGCAATTGCAACTCTTTGCTTTTGACCTCCCGAGAGCTGAGTTCCATGCTCACCAACCATTGTGTCTAGTCCCTGAGATCAAAAGCCATAGTTGAACAAAATGATTGTTTACTATGCAGTTTCTACATTTAAATAAAGATTTGAAAATTCAGTTCACCTGAGGAAGTTTATCTATAAATTTGGCAGCATTAGCAAGTTCTGCTGCAGCTCTGATTTCTTCATCGGTGGCACCATCCTTTCCATATGCGATATTCTCTTTAATACTACAAGTAAAGAGAACCGGTTCCTGGCTGACTAGGCCTATTTTCTGTCTGATCCATTTCAGTTGAAATTCTTTGAGGTTGATACCATCAATGAGAACTTCGCCAGCCTGTGGATCGTAAAATCTCTCTACCAAACTGACAACTGTGGATTTTCCACTTCCACTTTGCCCTACCAAAGCTACCGTAGTCCCACTTGGTATTGTAAGAGAAAATCTATCGAATATCAGTTCATCCGGTCTTGTAGGATAACTAAAGCAAACCTCCCTAAGCTCTATGTCTCCGCGAATGTCATCAAGCTTTCTCCCGGTTGAGTCATAAGCATCTATCTCCGGCTTCCTTTTAATCGTCTCAAACATCTTAAATGCTGCAGCTTGTCCTGCAGCAAAAGCACTCAAGCTTGGAGATGCCTGCCCCAGAGACCTGGAATATATACTCCATCAGTAACAAAATATAAGCAAAAAAGTTAAGCTCAATTGAAGAAAAGGAACACAAAACTTACATGGATCCGGTCAATTCAGCAAAAATTATAGTCACAACTTCCCCTCCTGTATAACCTTTCTCTATTACCATTTTCCCTCCAAACCATACCGCCAAACCATAACTCGCAATAACAACTAAGTAGAGTGAACCGAATCCCAAACCAGAAGCCAGTGCCTCTTTTACTGCCGTTCTGTAAGCATCGATTAAAGACTGATCATATTTAGCTATGGCGTGTTTCTCTCCAGTGAACGACGCAACCTTAAATGAATAAACGGAAGTCATCTATGTAAGCTGAATGAAAAAAAGTTAAAAAGTTAAAAAGGTAAATGAGTTGTTTCGGAAAGTTTGCATACAGTTCTAATAGAACCTATTGTCTGTTCTACTACACTTGCTGCTTTAGAATAAGCTTCTTGTCCAGATGATGATGCTTTTGCAATAGCCATGCTCATAATAGCACCAGACAAAACAAGAAGTGGAATACAAGACAACATCACAACAGTTAAAAGCCACCCTTTGATGAATGCTATCACAAAACCTCCAAAGAATGTAGCCATCAGCTGTAGAAACTGCCCCACCTGAAATCAAAGAGGAAAAATTAATGTCAAGATTCATGATGATGATGATGAATTATGAGTTGTATATGGTGGTTGATTAGTACCTTCTCCCCCATGGCATCTTGAATAAGAACAGTATCGCCCGACATTCTTCCAACAACCTCTCCGGTATTAGTTTCCTTGTCAAAGAAACTAACATCTTGCCTCAAAATAGTTTGGAGGTATAAACCTCTAATCCTTGCAGCCTGTCTCTCACCAGTGATCATCCAGCAAGTCAATTCTGAGATATCAAAAAGTGTTTCTTTTTTTGTCATAATGATCCAAACTAATTATTCTAGATATTAAGAACTGATGCATAAACCAATGTACTTACGCAAGAAAGACGCGACAAAAGTCCCCGCTCCCAAGTATACGAATTTCAAGGACACCTGAACATATCAAGTTGTCTTCGTAAGTTCACTCAGACAAGCTCGTGTTAAAACGGATTATGAGTAAGGAGGAACGATGATTGATTGATTGATTACCTTGGAAACTTCATCAACAACTTCCTTAGTACTTGTTGATCCTCCAAATGCATTGATCATATTTCCGAATATCAAAGTCATTAAAGGCATAGAGATTCCATTCCCAATAGCACCAACAGTCCCAACAAACATCAATAAATGATCCAAAGGATCAGCAAATGAGAAAAGCTTGTATAATGGTACTGTTTTAGTGCTTTCATCTTTAGCTTTTCTCTTGTCTGAATCGACTACTTGCTCATTACTTGCAACATCTGCATCCATTTTCTTAGAACTTAAAGCTGAAGTGATTCTTTGGTTGAAAGAAGATAGAAAACTAGCCGTAGCAAGAATGAATGAATGAAGAAACAAAAACAATTGCTACTATGAAAATGGTTTGAGTGAAACATTTATTGTTGTTAGTATGTTATTATAGTAGAGAATTTGGTAACTGCATATGAAAATTTCTTGAAGCGCAAGTTGAATTTTATTCTAGTCATATTTACTTTTAGTTGTCTGGTCCAAATTACTTGGTTTATGATCCAAATTACTTGGTTTATGTTGTGTTTGAGATTATGATTATGATTATTGAATCAATTTAATAAATAAAGCTATCCACTTCATTGAATTTTAACCGTTTTTCAATTATGTTATCATATATTAGTCATAGACCACTGTGGAAGTCAAGATAGAATATTATATTTTATTATAAAATGTACTATTCATTTTAATTTAAAATATAATTAAATTTATCCAAAAATATTTGTCTTTCTAATATACTTCCTCCTTTTTAGAATTATTGTAGTTTTAGAAAAAAAATCATTTTAAAATAAATGTTATTTTCACCTTTTAATGTTAAAAGGATTATTAGAACAATAATTATTTTAAGATAAATTTTATTTACTAAAACGACAATTATTTTAAAATAAAAAAATATTATTGTTCTTATTCTTTGATCAGCCAATTGTAATAAAAAAAACAGAATTATCTCTCCTCTATTTTTCACATCTTTCCATTATATTAATATCTCATAACTAAGTTAAAAGTTTAAAACAGTGCGAGACCTAGAATTCAACAATTAATTATTAACAATTTTGCATTAAAAAATAGTTTAATTTTTATGCATTGACAATGTAAAAATGTTTTACAATGTCATTCAATAAGAATATATTATTTTGTCATGTCATATAATTATTTTAAAATTTTTAATATGATTTAACAGAATGCATGGTCGTTATTGATTGACAGTGCATAAAAATTTTACGCATCACCCCTTTTCCATTAAAAGAAAAAATTAAATAATCATGATTTAATCGAAATAAATATTTTATAAGTTTCTATTTAACAATTTATATGTCTTATGTAATAGTTCGAATTTTTTACCCAAATATCCCACTTTTTCAAAAAAAAATCAAAATAACCCAGTTTTCAAATTATTTCTCAAAGTACCCCACTTTGAGGTACTGATAGAATGCAGATGTCATTTGGGATGACGACTCTTCACAAGGATCATGTGTTGTCGCCAATTGGGTTGGAGACAACACATGGTGTTGCCAATCCAATTGGCGACACGGTATAAATACTACAAGGGTGTTGCCAATCCAATTGGCGACACGGTATAAATACTACAAGGGTGTCGCCAATTCAATTGGAGACAGACTTGAACGTGACATTTTTTTTTTCTATAAATAAAGGTGTTCTGATTATTTATTTCCACAACTCATCTCATATGTTTGTATTACTGATAACATGTATCATCGCCGCTACAAGAAAGTCATCTATTCGAGAGAGAAGCATCTGATGGACATGTTGTTTTGGAACTTTTAAAGTTTCAACCAACTAAAGAGGGAGCCGAATCAGTGGTTAGAAAGAGACATTGTCGAAGGGGAAAAAATTAGAAGTATCGAGAGACATGATCGCCTGCGTGGGTGGGTTCGCGTTAAGACTGACAAGGATGTGGGAGAAGTAATGTTTGGATCGAATGACATAAGTTTGATTGTTGTAATCAGTTAGAAATGTTTTGTTTTTTTGTTCTATTATTTGTCGTATGTGTTGTTTGTTGTTAACATTATTGTAACAAAAACTCATTAATATATGAAAATATAAGGTTATAACAATTGAAAGGAGATACTAAATTATGATGCAGAGGTTGCTCTGAAAATGGGACAATTTTTTCGATTGTGTCTGGGTTGACGACATATACTGCATAATCTTATCATTTTATCAGTCGTATCCATTTCTGTTCTTATATGTGTGCTGTTTGGGCATCCTTTTTTCTTTCTTCGCATCTCATTGTTGTGCCAAACTATGTCCCCTTAGTATGGAGGCCAATGTTCCTCCATTGCTAGCACTGCGAAGCCTTCATTGTAGACATTCATAATATTAATGGCCTTGTAAACATCAGATAGATGGCTAAGCATCCTGACGAGCATGTCTGCATCCTGTAATGACATGTGAGCAAGGCACACGGAAGACTTGGTACTTGCCACAGTCACACCAACATTTGTTTAGTTTGACATCATAGGATCACTTTGGCCTCCCCTTATTATAGTCTATTGTTTCTTGTACATTAAAAGTTTGCTTATGACAGTCAAAGACTATAATTGCATGCGTGATGGCTTTGATAGTTTCCTCTTTCATCACTTTCATTATGCTTTCACTGAATAATTGACCCGACATTAACATTGCACTCCATCTTTCGCCTCTTGTTGCGAAAAGTGATGCCAACCTATAATAGGTTGATCTCACCAATGTGATGATTGAAAGGTTTCTAATTCTTTTAAAGACGTCGTTCATGGATTCCACAAGGCTTGTGTCATGTGGCCCCAACGACATCCACCGTCAAATGCCTTTGTCCACTTGTCCAATGGAATATTATCCAACCACCTTCCTACATCTGCATTTGACATCTTAATTTCGTTAAGGTAGTATTGGAATGATGGTTGAGTTAGAGCATACCCTGCATTCACAACTATTTTGCGAAGGTTCTTGTCTTTGATAGCACGCATGAAGTTTTGTGCGATATGTCTAATCCAATATACATGGGTAGAAGGAGGATTATGTCACCCTTTATCATGGTCATTGTAAGCATTCTCAATAGCAGCATATCTGTCTGAAATCAAACAGAGATTGACTTGTAGAGCCACGTGTGTTTTGAGATTTTTAAGGAAGAAACTCCAGGCAACAGCAGTCTCACTTTCAACCAGAGCAAAGGCTATGGAAAAGACATTGTTATTGTTGTCTTGTGCAACAGTCATAAGCAAGGTGCCCTTGTATTTTCCGTACAGCCACGTTCCATCAATTTGAATAATAGGTTTGCAGAATGCAAAACCTTTTATGCATGGTTGAAACACCCAAAAGAGTCGGTGAAATATGGCATTTTCATCAATAATAGTTCCATCTGGCCTACATGTAACGCCGCGATTCTGATTTCCAATTTTGTTGATTCTTTTGATTTATTTGGGTGATTAATATTTTAATTGTGAAATTGATGTGTTAATATGTTATGTTTGCATATTATGCTATTTTACCGATTTTGAGAGTTTTCGGGGAAAATAGATTGGAGGGTATTTTAGACATTTCTTATTTAATGATAAGATGAGATATTTTGTGAGAAAATGGATTAGTATATGTTTGGAGAGAAATAGAATAGAAAGAGATATAAGTGGAATAGAGGAAAGAAAAGAAAAGGAAGAGAAAGAAAGAAGGAAGAAGAGAGAAGAGGAGAAAATAGAGGAAAAGCTTGGATAGCTCAAGATCAACATCTAGGATTCGATTTAATCGAGTAAGAGTGTGAAATCTTATTATTTTCTCAATGTGTATGATTATGTATGCTTTTGTTGGATTGATTTGGATTGTTGGAGAGTTTTTACTCATTTTCCATTTTTAGGTCGAAACGGTTTAATCGATAAAAACCGATGTTTTAACGGTTAGAATCTGGAATAATGGTGTAGTTTAATCGAGAAATGTTAGGCTAAGACTATGGAAACTTGTTGGAATTGAATCGAGTGATTTTTGGACCTTGTGACATTTTTGGACAGTAGAGGTTTTTGAGAGATCGCAGAGGTTCCCTAAGCGAGCTGCTAGCGAGCGAGTAGCGAATGGTCCTAGACTTGGACAGAACCAAAATGACCCTTGTTTGCTGGAGCGAGTGAGGTAGCGAGTGTTCGCTAAACGAGTTGGGTAGCGAACACTTCCAGTAGCAAAAAGGCAGGCTTCGCTAGCACGTTCGTTAGGCGAGGCAGTAGCGAATGATCGCTATGCCTTCGCTAGGCGAGTGAGCCAGCGAGCATGACAGCATTGTTTTATTTCTGTTGTTTCCATCCAATGTTGATACTTTGATTCTTCAACGCATAGCTTGTGTGTTGTTATATGATATGTTGTGGGTAGCCATATGGCGTGAATCCTAGATTGTGAATTGTGAAGTGTGAAATGTAGCCTTTTGGCAAATATATACATTGTTTAAATTGATTTAAAATGCATGATGATTGTAATGGAGTTCGTTGTCGTTTGGCGCGATATTGTGAATGCATATTGATTGTATGCGATTGTATGTGAAGCACCATGATGTGTATTATTGTGCATTACTTGATAAATGTAATGATGATGTGTGAAAGTATGAGTACCTTGGTGATTATGAAATGTGTGGTGTGTGCAATCAGGTTATAATTCTTGTGTGATGAATTATTTGAGAATGCATGGGATTAAGATGTGGGAACGGTCTTAAGTGCATTTGTTTGTTGATTGCATACGCATCATTTGTTGTCAAGAGGAAATACTTGCTAGTTTCGTGGAGACTAATGACTTGTCCCAAACCTAGAGTGGGGTTTGAAAGCTTAGGGAACAAACTTTTGTTTGTTATTGGTCTAGGGAACGGACCCGGTTTAAATGTAAAAACCGAAAAATAATAACAAGTGTTGGTACTACATGGCATGAGTTGCATTGAGTCACATGGCATAGATGTAATCGTTGTATGAAGTATGCATATGTGTATGAATTGTTGAACTGAGAGTTGTGAATTGATGAATAAACATAATTGTAAATGTTTATGTGGAAATGAATGAATTATGGATGTATGCATGATGAATGTGCTTGGTGATTATCCATATATTTGTATATACATTGTGACGTATATGGATGACTTGTGGTGAGAATGTTGATTATGTGTATTCTAAGATTTTAGATATATATAATTATATGCATTGATTATTATGATAATATTTCTCACCCTTCTGCTGTTTTATGAAGCTCTATGAGGCATTGCAGAGTAGGTATGCTGGAGGTCT